CATTTACGTGCTAGTATTTTCTTTATTTGTTTTTCTGAAAATGTATGTGTATACTCGTTTGTATTTTTATGACATGTTCGATATAATTAAGCAGAAAATTATTTTTTTGTTTGTTTTTTTGTAAAAAGTAAAGAATATCGACGATGTGATATGCATCAATCTTTTAGCTATTAAAACAGTTTATTTACAAACTGTGCATTAATCAAAAATATAAAATTGATGAAATATTGGATTAGATTAAGTAGATAATTAATACCAGACAATTGACCTTTACCAGTTGCTGAAACTAAGCTAAATGGTTCAAGTCGTTGCCTATCTATTTCTACCTGTGACAATGATATACTACGAGGCGATGTGACAACCATCAATTCTGTAAAGCGATGCAACTACTCTAAGAAGAACAGACATACTGTCTAAATTTTCACAACAGGAGTGTGATAATTCTAACTAGAGTCATTAACTCTAGTATAAGAGTGGATTTAAACGGGTAGATTAAATGTGGATTGACAGAGTGAGAATTGTTATTCGATTTAAGTATCGCAACAGTTGTTGATACAGGTATTAATGGTAACGTTATTACAAGGTTGCTAGAACAAAGTGTTGTTGATCAACAAGACCTATTTCACTATATTAAAAAATAGTAAACGTAAGAATTTTAATTAAGTACTCTAATTATCATTAAGAGTGCCTGATAGATGCTATTGTATTAATAAAAAAGATCCTTTTGATTTAATACACATTATTCTAAGATTTTTCAGCCGTGTATCAACAAATGAACATGGAATTATTATGAATTTGCGTTGTGGAACAACTATTCGATTAATACTTGTGATAAATGACAGCTTAATATTTTTATTATACATCAAGTAACATTGAAAACAACTGCATGTACATTTAATGACTTATACGGATTTGTGTCGAAAGCTAAGATAAAAGGCAAATGAAAGATATTTCCTAGTTTTTCTGTCACATGTTAGAGTCACGTGGGGATGGGTAATTATGGTCAGGTCATCAAAATTTCATTGTATTTCTGGCATTGTTTGCTTGACCATAATTACCCCCACGTGGCTCTAACATGTGACAGAAAAACTAGGAAATATCTTTCATTTACCTTTTATCTTAGCTTTCGACGCAAATCCGTATAAGTCATTGAATGTACATGCAGTTGTTTTCAATGTTGTTTGATGTATAATAAAAATATTAAGCTGTCATTTATCACAAGTATTAATCAAATAGTTGTTACGCTTGAATATGATTGAAATACGATGAAATTTTGATGACCTGACCATACACGTGATTCTAACTTCTTTTTATTTTAGTTATAAAAAATTATGCAATTTGTAAAGGCTCTATGCCTGCAAATAGAAGACATCTTTGTTTTCTTTTCTGAAATGTTCACAGAGACAGATAGATGAAGTAAGCAGAAATAGACTAAGTGTTCTCTAATATGTACGATATAAAAGTTCACGTAGCCATACCTTTAATATGATAAAACTATATCTTTGAATTCAAGGGTAAATCAATTTTCTTTTGACGGTACTATACAGAAGATTTCGAAAAAAAAAGTTGTTTTTTTTTTGTTCGTTCTGTTTTAACTGTTCATGTTGCATGTTATTCCAACAAGTTTACTGCCAAACAGACTCATAGACTATGTGTACCCTATGGATATAGAAAGAAACAGAATAATAAAAGAACAGAAAATATATTTTCTATGATAAACAAACTAAACTTTTCTTCATAGAATTACTTCACGTTGACTGTAGTTTGAATCTCAACTAATGTGCAGTAAGAAATAAAACAAGCAAAAATGATAGAAAACATACTGGCGATAAGCCGAAATAATAAACATTTATTATGACTTCATCTTTAACGGCTGTAAAGAATTTTGTTGCAGGACATATCCTAGCTGATGAAGCACTCATTGTTCCATTTCCAACGTTAGCCATTTACGATAATGATAAAAAATCTTGGTCAGTAATTATTAAAGCATGGGTTTACTTACCAATCGAAGGAAAAAAGTTATCAACACCCATAACAGCCATTCGAAACTATTTGCCAAAATTCTGGAAAAAAGCGACTCCTCCTGCTGTCGCCACTACTAATGAAATAGAAGAAGAGAAAATTGATGAGAAAGACGAAACAGACAACTTGAGTAAAATTTGAGCAAAAATTATTTACAATATTTGAGATATAATAATTTTTTGTTTTCTTTAGGTGATAGCGAGGAAGCGTTAACGAATCCAGCTCGTTTGGCTCTTTTTTTTGTTAGTAATCAAGTAAAGGTGGTAACAAAATCGATCATTAATGGAATTGAACATATTCTACAACCATCGGATTCAAGTGGATTTATTGAAGACAAAATTGAAATTTCTCAAGATGATATTGTTAAATTATATCCACAATTAATAAGCAAATATGAGGATATGAAATTTGATTATGAAATTCAATTAAAAGAGCCATCGGGGAATCAATCGTTCTCCTGTACGATCTATCTATTAAATAAGAATGGTATCAGCATTATATCTGATTTTGATGACACGATCAAAAAGAGTAACGTTTTGAGTAAACGTTCGTTAATAAAACATACATTTTATTCATACTTTAAACCGGTTGACGGTATGAGCGATTTATATCAAAAATGGTACGATCAAGGGGCTCAATTTCATTATATATCTGCTTCACCATATCAACTGGTAGGTTATGCATTCTTACACGAACATTTCTATAATCTATGCTGCTTATATGTCACTATTATCAACGTCTTTCATTCCTGAAATTGTGTATAACTTAAATCGATTGGTAATTCACATTTTATTTGACTATTTCAGTATCCTGCACTCAAATTTTTCCTCGAACAATACAAGTTTCCCATTGGAACTGTACAATTACGACGATTTTATTTATTCAATTCAACGTGTCTACAGTTTTTTAAAGCAGCTGATACTTATAAAATTGAAAAGATTAAAGAATTAATTAATGGATATCCAGAAAGACGATATATTTGTGTCGGTGATTCAGGTAAAGTAGTAGCGATAAGTCAGAGGACTAACTAATATAATATGAATGTAATGTTGCATCTCAGACATTTTTCAATAAAATTCAAACAAAACAAAGAAAATGGAAATAATAAATATATTTTCAATTTATTTTCTTTTAGGTGAATTAGATCCCGAAGTATATGGAGAGATGGCCCGTGCATACCCGAAAAATATTGTACATATTTTTATACGTGATATTTGTATTTTACCGCAGTGTCTACCAACGTGTCGTGATCGATATGAAAAAGCTTTTGAAAATTTGAGCGACAAATTATGGAAAACATTCAAAGATCCGACAGAAATAGAAACAGATTTAGAAGAAATATTGAAAAAAATAAATGAATGTTGAAAAATATTGTGTACAATTATTTGTCTTCTTTTTTATTTCTATTGTTGTTATACTAGCATATTATTTCATTTCACGTTGTCGTAGAAGCTCAATGTTACTAATTTATACAAATTTAAAAATTCAATTATATTCCTTGAAAGAGTAAAATCTGATAGTATCTGTAGTAGTCTTTCTCTATTCACCTTGAACATCACTTTATGCTAATAGGTAGAGAAGTATTTATATCCCTTTTGCCAATCAAATATTATAATGTTACTTTTCGTTATTGTTTTGTTCTTTCTTCATCTTAGTCAGTTTGTATTTGTAAAATGGACTTTTTCTGTCCATTGATCGCTATGTATATTCTAGCTGAAAATGTTCCACATCTTCATTTGTTTATGTTCACTAATGTACCTTAGAGATCGATGTTTAAATTTTTGACTTTACATATATAAACAAAAATCGAATGGTAATGGCGATATTGTTTACACATGAAACTGAAACGGTGTAAGAAACTGATGTTGCTAAATTTAATAAAGTACATGGAGAGTTAAATTAAAAAAATTTACCCCAATATTTTTTACTCTTTTCTATGAGAAATGTGTCCTATGGTAAATTAGTTTCTCCAAATTTTTCCGAAATATTTCCAACCAAAAACAGTCTTAAAGCTTTAGAAAACTGCTGCATGTATGCAAAATTGTGCGCTCTTTCAGATTATGTCAAAATAATGTGTTCAACTTACACTTAAGTGATCAAATTGGAAGGCGAAAATTTCACAGTAGATGTAGTTTCTGACGTTCTATTGATTGAATCTACTAGAATAATTGACTGGTGATTGCTGGAAATCTGAGTTCTCCATCTTTTATCATTCAACAACTATGGACATGCTGTTGAACTTGTGTCGGTTTTGAAGCTACTTGCCATACGTCCAGAAATTTATCTTGATAAACTCATTTGGATGAAACTGTTGCGAAATACAGAAAAATGTTGGGTTCCATCGTTCGATTATTTAGACGTCTCATGTATTCAAAGTCTGTGTTTGTCCTGTTTTTGAATAGGCTGTATCTTGTATGATCGTTCATTCAAGTTGCATTGGTCCATCTTTGATAACCTTCAACGTTTTGCGGTTCGTACGATTTCATCAGATTACTCTACTGCTTCCTCATTCTTATTAAACAAATTCAATATGGTCCCACTTGCAGGTAAACGCACGTATTTTAGACTGATCTATTTTCACAAAATTTTTCATGAAAAAAATGTTGTCTTTTCTCCGTCTCATCATGTCATCCATGTCACGATATTCATAACGGTTAGGACACAATAAACGGATGGCAACAAAAACTTATAAAATCAAATATGCTTCATCTTCTTTACTTCCGTACACAATAAATAAGTGGAATGCTCTGTCTTCTTCCATCCAATTATTTGAACATTTGTCTTTGTGTTTCAGTCACTAGTTCAAGAATGAACTATTTTTTCTTTTGATATAAAAAATCCAAGAACAAAGTGTAAGGTACAACAACAACAAAGAAAATAATAGAAAACAAATATTTCATTTGTTTTATAGTAAATACGTACAAACAATATAAAATAAAAACAAATTACACGCAGCAAAATAAACAAAAAAATTTTGCTTATTCATTAAATCGAAAACATTCATTGATGATTACCCATGTCGAAGTTGTTTTGTCAACAGTTAGTACAAAGACATGTGAAAACATATGTTTTTCTTTATTTGATGCGTTTTCACTTGTTCCATATGCAACGGTTCCATTAATAAAAACCTGATATGTTGTATCTTCATCTGGAAATAAATCTAAAATTTGAACACTGATTAGTTTTTTGTTCACGAACTAAAAAATTGCACATTACACACAAGCTTACAATTAAGATATAGTATCATCAACAAAAACTTTAATACAAAGGAGTTAGTTTTTGAACAAAAGCCTATTTTAATCGCACAATGAAACTTACCTTTCATTGAGAAATAATCTAATGCATAAACACAATGTACAGTTGGTGGTAAACCTATCAGCCACATTCTAATTGCCTCTTGACCATCTACTGCATTTCCATTCCATACTAGTTTAGCAGTCTGATGATATAGTCTGTTAATATCCTAAATGAAGAACAAAATGATTTTTGTCAACACATAATCAAATAACTCTGACGTACATGTCGTCGTCGATCAAATGTTTCATAATAACGTTTTGTGAAACCTTCAACAGCTTCTGAATCTTCACGACATTTCCTTTGCTAAACGAAAAAAAATAATCATCTTTACATTCTTTTGTATTAATCAGAAAAAAAACCTTACTTTTTCCACTGTTGTCGTCATATTAACACAATAATTATCTAAAATGATAATATCAAAACATACATCGTTATCTTTAGAAAAACGGCAGAAAAACAACTTGTAAGAAACAAAAAGCATCCAAGTCAAATAATTGCTTAAAACAATAGTTTTATTTTATCATATTTTAGAAAACATAACCAATTAAGTAAACAACACGTTGTGCAAAAGAATCGTTGCACAATAAAAGACAACAAATAACTAATCACCATTCTTTCTCCCCACTTATATAAACATGCCCAAGGCAAATGACCGATACATCAAAGAATTTCATAGGAAAAAAGAAGTAAATTTCAAAAACGAGAAAAAAATATGCTAGAAAAACTGCACGTCACTTTTTTCTTATTTTTACGCAAAATAAAAGGTGAGATCTTCATAGAAAAACATAACTGAAGTAAAAATGCGTGCAACTAGTTCCAACACAACACATTTTAAGTGGAGAATAAGGCATAAAAACAAAATTAATGATACGCACACAATTTTTAAACAACGACCAAAAAGAAATGGATACTAAAAAGATGACTTTAGAAACAGACGTGCGCTTTTACGATTAGAAATACAAAACATAGTACACAGTCTATGAAAAAATGGTATTTATGGAACGAAAAGCAATCTTGTCCTTTACAAAATAACGTACACACAAGTTAGATAAATATTGTCCTATTAACGATCATCATGACGATCTCGTTTTCGATCTTTATCATCATTTTTATCACGTTGGCGACCTAAAATACATAAAAAAACTAGGAATCAGTAAATCGTATGCAAAAAATTAAAATAAACATACCTTTAGAATTGGATCGATCTCGAGAATAACGATCGCGTGATGAATAATGATCATTACGTGAAGAATTTCGACGTGGACTACGTGATCGATCTCTTGACGAGCGTCTTGGACTTCGAGAATCACGTCCATTATCTCGACTTCTTGATCTAGGACGTGGTGATCGTGACCTAAATAAAAGCAGGAACTAAAGTATACAATTCTTCTTTGTCTTGTGCCACTCTATGCCATACTACTCAGATACTATATATGTTACTGAAGTTCGATGCTAAACTGTCTACTGGAATTATACTAAGAAACGCGAATGATCTCAAGACAAAATAGATGCTTACACTTTTTTTTTCTACAAAAATACTTTTATAAAAATTATGCTTTTTTTCTAAGTAAACTGATCTCGATTTATCTTACAACTATCAGATTTGTTTGATTTTAAACAGGAACCAGGCTGCAGCAATTTTGTTTTTCATACAAAATATTCTCTATTTTAAGTTTATTTTTTTAAGATCAGCTGGATTCAACGTTTTTTTTTTATTCGAATATCACCAAGGGATAAATTGGAGTATTAAATCTGGCAGCATCAGCAAACAACAGGAGCATGCACACGCTCTTAGAAATTTAACTGTTGTATGTGTGTTGATCGAGTATATGTATAAATGAATGAGTCAGCCACCAACAACAATTAAACAACTGGAAATTACAGGAAAACTGCTGGACAAACAGGAGTACCTGTGTTGAGAGAGATAAAGAAAAGATAAGAATCATTTTAGCTTGACAGAATAAATTATACTAAATCTACGATAAACATCATTTTATTGATAAATAACGACGAAATTTTGGATTAATAATATTAATTATCATTTGGAAGAATAATCGGTGCAATCCTTGTTCTCTGTAGTCTTTGAAGAATTTTCTTACTTTTCTAACTTTAGTCGCAAAGAAAGAGAAGGTTCAGTGTGTACCATTTACAATGCATTTAACGGTATTAATCTCGACCTTTATCATTGTTTTTCAATAAAAATTAATGTTTACAATAGACTTGGTACAATTTATTTTGGCATTTTACAACATGACTTCACAAATGGTATCGGTATAAAACTTGAAAAAGTTAAAAAAATTAGAAAAACGTTATTCTACTCATGAAGAAAAAGACAGTAATCAAAAGGTAACTCAACTTCAAAATAGAAAAATCTTCTTACATACCGCTTTCTTCGTACTTTTTCACGGCTATCCGATGTCGAGGCTAAAGTGAGAATAATTTGTTTTTATTAAACGTTTGAAAAAACAGTGAACAACATACCATCATTAAACTTGTGACCCTTACCTCGACCATAACGAGCAAATTGGACACGTATCTCTCGACCATCTAAATCTGCGCTGTCCATACGATCGAGCGCATCTTCAGCGTCACGTTTTTGAGCAAATCTGAACAACAGAGAATCTATTACGATACACCAAATAAATTTTTACGTTTGTTTATTTACCTAATAAAGGCGTAGCCACGACTTGAACCTAAATACAGATAAATGTTATTCTTATGGAGTAAATAAAAAAAGAATATTGATAACTCACGTGAAAATTGATCACGTGGGATATAAATATCACCAATTTCACCAAATTTTTCAAATGCTCGCCGTAAATCTTCAACACGCGTACGATATGTTAAATTATCTACTTTTAATGAATGCATAACATCAACATTCGGTGGGGTGGCACGTCGACCATCACCATCACCTCCACCTCTTGAACGATTGCTCATTCTTTAATTAATATTCGATAGAGATTCTAAAACAAACTAATAATGAAGAAAAATATGAAAAAAGAGTGTTCGATCTTCTAACATACAACAATCAAAAATATGACTCGATGAGCTGTAATAACAATGAATCAAACCAAACTAATGAGTAACGATGAACAGACAAAAGAAAAACTAAAATAATGGATAAAACTAGCCCAGTTAACCAAAAAAATAAAAGATGAAAAATTGATTACACAGGGAAACGAAAAATAATAATAAAATAAATACGATTGACCGTTGTTAGTGCGTGCAATTTCACGTAGATGTGAAAGAGAATATTGAAGAGAAACAAATTATTTCTTGAAGTTTATTATAGAGTAAAAAAATGAAGAAGAAACAGTATGGACAGAGAAACTATCAACAAGAGACCAAATGCGAACACATTTAGAGTGATTAAGACATAAAGAATAGCATGACAGATAAACTGGATAAAAAACAGAAAGAGAATTTGGTTGATGGTGGATTTTAAATCGATTAATTTTTAAATATTTACGGCGAATTGAGAGATTTGAAAGAGATAGTTATCTAACAAGTGAGGAGCTAGAGAAACAATCGTCAAAATTATGAGAGATAGATAACACGAGAAGCAAGTTTAGTAATAGAGCGAGGAAACGAATTGCGGTACAAGGCACAACAATAATCAAGCCTACAAAGAAATGAGAAAGACAAATTCGGCACTGAAAAACTGGTGGAGCTAATCTAAAGGCGATCCCCAGTGCTCTTGGTCTGCGATGACAAGTAAATTAATATTACTGGCATGGCAAAACAGAGGGAAGAATATCATCCCAAATAAATTAGAAAACGGAAGATAATACTTAAGATATATATGAATAGAAGCAGAGTTTGTAGTGATTGATGAGACAAATCCAACCAAAATAGATTTCTACGCTATTTTTAGTAGAAAACGTGGAAAATACGGTGGTAAACTCCGGAAACCCACTTTGTTCAGAATTCTTATTGAAGATATTGGGTAGAATCGTTCGATCAAAATTCAAAAGACGAGGAGTAAAAAAGTTCACTTTGCTATCAGTGTCAAAGTAGAATTTTCCATTTTTATATGAAATGTAAAGTAGATAAAATGGGAACAGTTGAAATTTTTGTCTAATAGCGGCTAAAAGTGATCTGTTTTAACATCACAGGGGTTTCGTTATAATTCAGTTAAATGGACCAGAATTAGCTTCTCTACCCTGATCAATTACAAATTTAACAACAAACATCTTAGATAACTCATATAAAACAAAATGGAACTAAAAGAATAGCTGTAAGTTGAACACTCCTAAGACAAAGAAAAGAAACGCTGCAAAACTTTTATACGTTTAGATAGAAGTCATAAATCCTTTTTAACTAATATCCTGTTGATGTTAATTTTCAGACACTAGCCATCTCGTATTGTGATGAAAATTAGAGGATCAAACAAAAATTATACTGGTTCTCTCGCTCACAAGTGTTCGACAAACAGATCTATGGGTTAGTTTTTAAGGCAGGAAATTTTCAAAAGCAAAGTGGGATATACCTTCCTCAGTGTGGAAAGTAGAATGGAAGTTCATTATTCGAAGTGGAAACCCATTTTGTTCTCGCTTGTCTCACTAATCGTTAAAAACACTGTACTGCATAGGTAAATGTGAAAAAAAAATACCGTTTATTTCTATACCTATACATATAGAAAGTCAAAGAAACGTTAGCATTTCAAAGTAATTCCCTGTATGAGATGTCACGCTTTTTCTATCGTCATCTGAGGATTAGATGTGAAGAGGAAATAAGCAATATTTGTGAATAATGACGTAATTATAGTCGTTTTTATATTCATGAGAATCTAGCGCTTCCCAGGTTAAAACTAGGTATCCATAAATTTTATTCATAAATCTCTACTATTAACGTGAAATTTGGAAAATTTACGTGGGTAGTAGAGAGATTTATGAACAAATTTTATGGATGCCAAGTTTTGACCCCCTTCCAAATGGTCTATCTCAAAACACTAAGAAATTTCATTGGATGTTTGTAAGAACGAATAGAAATTCATTGGACTGAAAAACACCCTTAATAAGGTCAGTTTTTTGGAAATGTCACCCACTTAGCGACTACACAAATTCAGAATATCATTCCAATCTTCACTGAAAGGATAAAATGTTGGTTTTTTGCCAGTAGTTCTGTTCCATGAAATTAATAAATAACCTTAAGGAACACTTTTTTATAACTTAGCTCAAGTATTATCTAATCAATGAAGGTCAAACCCATATATGTACTTAAATATTTACCTTCCGCGAACTAGGCTGATCGTGTACACGTGTATTTTCACACTTCAGTATCGTTCAGAAGGACTCTGTGAATACCTAAATCGAAACGCGTGGATTATAACTTACATACTGTGTGCTTCGTATCCCTATAAAGAATTTCGGCATATCTAGTAGTGATAATGATTCACAATTTATTTCTGTTAATAATATTCAAGTTTACTATAAACGCGTATTACCTACAATCGATAATGTACAAAATAATGATCATTCAATTGTTTTAATTCATGGTTTTCTCTGTAGTACATTCACATGGCAAAAAATATTACAACCATTAGCTAATAGAACAGGATGTCAAGTAATTGCTTATGATCGTCTAGCATTCGGATTGACTCAATGGGATAAAAATGAAATTAATCCGTATACAAGAAAAGGAGAAGAGTTACTTGCACTCGAACTATTCGATTACTAAATATAAAGAGTAAACTTCCTCTTGTTTCAAGTTCATCTGGTGCAATCGTAGCATACGATATAGCTGTGGCTAATCCAAAATTAGTTTATTCAATTTTTTTTTTTATCTCACCCTATGGTCTACACAATGTTCACAAAATGAATCCATTTTGAAAATGGTTAGTGGAAATGTTTCCAGTTAAATTATTATTAAAATTCGGTTTAAAACACTATCTTCCATTTAAAAATGCGTATTTTGATGAAAATTATTGTAAAGATGAAACAGTAAAAGAAGGATATTTACGACCAATACGAGATGACCCATTATTTGTTATAGGACTATGTTATTTCATAGAATACAATGGACCATCAGAGACTACATCAATCGATCATTTACTTCAAGTATCACGAAAAATCTTGTTTATTATATGTAAAAATAATAAAGTAGTATCAGAGAAAAATGTCAAGGAATTTTATCAACTCATATCAAATGAAAATAGATTGGATGAAACCATACTCCAATATGTATCTATTCAACAGTGTGGACATTTACCATTTCACTTCATTCATTTCACTGAAAATTGTGTTAGAGCTGTTAGAAAAACCACTATAGCACAAAACCGGTAATATACTTTGGAATGAGTCTCGATCAGGTTTTGAAGAGCACACTCTTATCTACAAAATGAGACATCTCTCAACTCTTCACGGTCTCTCATTCAGGTATTATAAGATCAACCAAAAGAGCAAAAAGTAACGCACAGACACGTTACGCGGAATTGCTAAGACACTTTTTCTCGTTAATAATTGCATAACTCTGAATATGTTCTCATTTAAAAACTGTAAAAAGATAAAAACAAAATCCGTGATAGAATTATATTGCAAGAGCAGATTAACCTGATCAATCCGGTCAATACTGAAGATTATTAGTCAGATGTACAAATAAAATTGTATTTACAAAAGAGTTTTCTTACAAAATTCTAATGAAATTTTATTTTAATAAGAATAATCAAAAAACAGAACATTTGTTCTAAGACGTGTTTTCTTTTTATACAAAATAAAACATCGTGATAAAGTATAAAAAAATAAAGACTATCGATTTTTTACAAATACGGCTGCTGTCCAGCAAATAATCTTGATAAATTTTCGACACTTGTCGCTTCATTAATTAGCATATTTACATGTGCTTTTAGTGTCAAAAAATTTCAAAATTAAAAATTGTTTAATTTCCATTTAACTTCTGTTCAAAGTTTTTTCTTGAAATTCCGTTCCCCTTATTCCATGCAGTATGACATCAGCTACAACTTCGCCAGCGAAAATTTCGTATCTCTTTTTTTCGCTTCGCCAGCAAAAAAAACAAAGAAAAAATATACACAATGTTTAATCAAATAATCACTCTTTCTTTAGATGACTATGTAGACGAAATAACTTAGTCAAATCACTATAAATGTAGTTGAATAATGACGATAAACTATATGAATAAATATCATCTAAAACAAACAACAAAAACGAATATTATTTGAATAAATAAAGATCAAAAGGTCAAGGATAGAAATCAAAGATTTTGAACAAACGAAAAATGTTAATAGGACTTACTCATTTTTGGTCCCGTAACATGAATTGTACGCTGTCCAATATTAATTAAATGGTTATACGATTCTATTGAAAAACCATATTGTTCATTATATGGTATCAACATCCCATTGCCTCCAATCTCATCACATTCTTCAACGTAACGAAGATTAAAATATTTTTCAATACCACGGATATATAGGCGACCTTCTTGATCCACAGGAATTAATTTGGGTTCCGTTGTTGTTTTCAAATTTGGATGATGATATACAACCTCTATGCATCGAAATGCCATGTACGAAATCTAAATATGATAAAATCTAAAATCCAAAGCGTTTATTCAGTAATTATAATAGATTAATAGTAATGCAGAAAATCTTGAGTATAAACGTTTATATATTGTAATGGCATGTATGAAATCTGAATATAAAAAATTGTAGGATATAAGGAAAGCTAGCTACAGCTTTTTTCCGCAATATCTATACGAATTCACCTACAAGTGAGTGCACTTTTTCATCCTGCTTATGAATCTGATATTTTTATCAGATAGAAGTTGAATTCTGCTGGAGAAAATTGAGAATTATCGGCAGAATTCCGACTTTTTCGCTTCTGATTTAGAAAAAATGACTTTTCTCAGCAACAGAACAAAATTTTAAAAAAATCGAACTGTACTTTTAAAGCTAGATTCAAGGCGGATATAATGACCCCTAAAACTCTTGTTCCAGGTCGTCACGCAAAAATCGAGATAGGTTTTCAGAATGACTCACCCTTATTTTCCAGTCGCCCATTCGGGCGTCTACGGCGGATAGGCGTTTATCTCCGAAATGAATCTAATATTATTTTTAATTCAGTTTTTACTGCTGAATAAGAGAAAAATAATATGAACGCTTCGGCTAAAAGCTCAAGTTGAGAAATAGAACGTTTTTTCAAAATCGTGGGTTTTTCGAGTTTTCGACATGAAAGAAATGTTTCGAAAAATTAAGAACTACACATTCATGATCAGCTCGAAAAACTCTATCGAATGGTGTATACTTCTTTTTTAGTTGGCATCCCTGCACTGCTATATCATTGGAAGTTATCTCACGACTGGCACGTCATGGGAACAGGTAGTCTGCTTGACTGTGAATGACCCGATGATGCTACTGTTCCCAGTACTTGTACTTAACTACATGCACAAAGTAGTAACATCAGTCCTGCATAATTTACTGCACTGCCCACAATTTTCTGTTAGTCGAAACTAGTGGGTATTCGGTGGTATTGACAGAGACACCAGAGAATGTTTTACTGCCACTGTAAATCGTCGTGATGCTGCTACACTGTTCTACAACAGTATGTCAGACGAGGTACTTCAATTTACATTTCTCTTTAATAACGCCTAATATATTTCCAGGCACAACGATTTACAGTGACGATGGAGAGCATACATCTCCTTAAGAACAAATGTTAATGATAATGGTTATGAACATCAGACGGTGAACCATTCGTCACATTTTGTGGATCCACAAACTGCGGTACATACCCAGAATATTGAAAATATGTGGATGGTTGTTTTATAGCTTTATTCTATCAGAATACAAGCGGAAGAATATGTGGATGGTTGCAAAAAGAAAAAAGAAGAATATGCTGGGTATGTCTGTAACGCTCTTACAGACATATCTCACCGAGTTTATGTGGCGAAAAGGATTCTGATTGGTGTATCTCCAAATTTTCTGGTGGAATTAGGTAGCGTATCATGATTTTTAATGAGAAGTAAAATCTTGTATAGTTCGGTAAGATACATAAAATAAATTGAAATCAAAAGTCAAAACCACAAAGAATATAAATCATAGCAACGCAACAACGCGAAGAAGTTTTCTTGTGCATTAACCGATTATGAAAGGTAGTTTTTGAAATCACCGGCACAGCACGCAAAAATGACACAGTTTAAAGCATATGGTTTATCTTCCTTATGCATGTTAATCTTGCAGTTTCTTTAAGTGCTTCTGTTACGAAAGCGAACACTAAAATTATGCGATTAGTTCGTCAACTAACTATGTACTCTATTAAAGATAACTTCACTTTTGTGCCGAACATGTTCCCGGCAAGTTGAATACTATTGGCGATTGTTTGTCTCGATTGCAGACACATCGCTTCAAAGAATTGGTTTCGGACGCAGAACCCATTTGCAATCTACTGCCTTCGATTCAAAATCTCTTCTATCCGTAACCGGTACCATTCAACAGTTATGGAGTAATGCTGATACAGTAACCACATTAGCCGGCTATCACACAGACCATCAAAAGTTTGAATATTTTGCTTTGCTGTTTGACAGAGCTTATCTATCAGGCAAATGCCCAGTGACCGAACATTTATTAATGCATTTTGTCACCTATTGTTATACTCATTTTTATTTGAAATATCAAACTATAAAGACATATCTCACAGGCATTCGTTATTTTGGGAGTAAACTGATTCCTAGCAGCAGTTCTTCAGTGCTACCAGTGTTTACGAACACATTGCATCTACTGTTACGGGCCGTTAAACGTCTGCAGGCAACGACGAAAAAAGCAAGATTACCAATCACATTTGACCTCCTCGTGAAAATTGCGATGCACCAGCGACCGGTGTTTTTAGTCTATATTGGGATTTGCTTATCACAGCAGCTGCAGTGGTGGCATTTTTTGGTTTTCCCAGTATCTGTGAATTTACTATTTCTTCGGTATTTAATCTAGAAGAACATCTTTTTCTGGGAGATGTGACGAACCACTCCACAATCTTCTTTCTTTTCTTGTTTTTAAAATCGTCTAAAACAAATTCGTTTCAAACGGGTACCTTGATACACTACTTCCTTTCCGCTCATAGAATCTGTCCCGTATGCGTTTTATTGTGCTATTTGAAAATTCGACCTCAACTGTACTGCAGTTCCGATGAGCCTCTCTTTTTAACCACAGAAGGCCAACCCAGGTCGCAGAATCGTACTAAGATCGTACACGATTGCGCAAGATCGTAAGAGAAGTAAGAAGTGATATGATTCATACAGTAGAATCGTATGATTTCTTATACTACGATTTTGGTATGATTATATGTCGATCAGGTATTTCATACAAAAATCGTTTGGTAAAAATCGTACGTGACCGTGTCGTACGATTTCATATGATTTGAGTCGAAATCGTACTCTTTCGATCACTTTTTTGTTTCTGCTGCGATTTATACTTGCAATGTTAAAAAAAGCTCAGTTTCGGATTCAAATGACTTGTTTAGTGTTAAAAGTATATTGCTGTAGAAAATTCGCTTTAATTTCATAGTAGTAAGCACTATAGTGCTTAGTCGAAATTTGGAGAGACATTTAATGCAAAAAATTGCAAAAATTCAGGTCCGTTGTTTTGCAAAAACCTGTAGTAAAATTTGCGTGCCTCACGTAACATCACACACATGAAATTCTTCTGTGTTTTTCTGCAGAAACAAAAATTTTTGCGATAAAACGCAAGAAAATGTTATAGCTTTCATACATAAAATATTATTGTCTGTAATTACACCAATAAAGCTTTATGTGCTTACCAGACAATCCCTGGACGGGTTCATCGAACTTTCCCACACGAAAGGCTCGCGGCCCCCCCTCTAGATCTGCAGCAGTAGATAGCGATCTGTTGCACGCAGTCTCCTCCCAGTTAAGAGGACCCACTGGAACTTTTAAATGCTTTCAAATTAATTCAAACTAATTTCGACATTTAAAAGAATTTGAACAAATTTAAAAGGAAAGCCGTTCAAATTAATTTAAAAGCCCTTTTTGCGTTCAGAATTAATTCGCATCAATTTAAATTTTTGAATAAATATAAAAACAAATCATAAAAGTTAATTCAAATTAATTTAAAAAAAGGAAAAAAAACTACCCTAGTAAATGTACTCAAGTGTAAGTACTCAAAAAGTACTCTGCTAGAAAAACCGGACGAGTACTCATACGTACTCATACATTTTTTTACTCACTGAGTACTC